ATATCACTGTCATTTAACGTTGATTGTCGGACTTATTTTACAGCTCAAGACTTCTTGTTTTTAATGAGAAATTCCGACTAAATGGGGCTCTCAATGGGGAAAACAGATTTTAATATTCACGTTTATATTATGGAAATTTCGTTTTAACTTGGTTTTAGCATAAAATAAAAAGAAAATTTGTTTGTTTGTTGTGTAAGATTTAATTTTATTTCATCTCGTGAACTTTAAAAACAGTATTCTCACTCGTGGCTACGCCACTCGTGAGAATACTGTTTTTAAAGCCCACTCGATGAAATAAAATTTCATCTTACACACAAACAAACAAATATCCTCTATATACTATTATAGTGTAATGGTACGGATTTCTGTTATTCACAAATGTGAATAAATAAAATAGAAGAACACAACTGTATACTTATGATGCTTAATCTTAGAACTAGTCAGTGGCAAGAATCTTGTTAAATAAGAACTGTCCTTTCAATCATTCATGGAATTATACTAAATGTAAAGGTCAAAGTTAACGAATCAGATTAAACTGATATATCATTAATTTACAGAGTATGCAGCTAGGAACGCCATTTTGTACTACATTTTATGAAATATAACTAACTGGTTAGTGTCCATGTTTAATGGCACAAAATACAAAAGTTCATATAGAGACTAGTCTTGCAGCTTTTGGGTGAGTGGAAGAAAATCTAATATGCGCCTCTTTCAGTATTTCGGGAAAATCAACAGATAATTGCAAGCTTGCTGTGTAGCTTACTAACATAAAAGAATTCGATCCACTCAGCATTCGAACCAATGTGAGCTTCTTTCAAGAAAACTGAAGTAATATAAATCTATAGCACTATAGTAACGATATTGCACGACAGGCGCTGTTATCATATCATCACATCGAACTCGTTGTCAAATTATTCAATCGTTTTCCCCGGTTATGACATTGTAATACTGTGCTGTTACCAAGACAACACAATACTACGATGACCCACATCAAACACCGTAGTTATAGGAAATATTTTATACTTTTCAGATAAACGTGAGCGTGTGATGTATATATTATAGAACGGTGAATTTGGTGTCCTGTTTTACATGTAGTTTCAAAAAGGTTACTCATTGGCCTATTACCTATTTTTTTTTTCTTATTTTTTTTGCTCCAGTCGGTTGTTTTTGTCAGTTAGTACAGCTATGTTAATTTAGTATTTTCTATGTGTTTAAAAAATGAGAGGGTACCTAAAAAATAGATAAATACAGAATCCCTAAAGAAAGCCCAACACGGCAAAATTGAAAATGTTGCAGGCTCGGTTTGATTGAGATACCTAAGATATAAAAATTAAAAAGGAGAGAGGTAGCCCTTGTCGCTTCAAAACCGAAAGTAGGGTGTTTTTAATGAATTTTACATTTATTTTTGACAATATACATTTGTTCGAAGATGATATGTAAATGAACATATTGAATATGTATGATGCATATATAATCAAGCCACAGGTTCATTTCAGCCCGAAATATATGTCGAGGTGATGGGCGAGGCAAGACATGTCGATTTTTTGTAGCTTATTGTGAAGTTGCAATCAATGAAAAACGGGCACATGACAAATAAGCACATAAATAAACCATTCTAGTGTTCCGTGGTATACATCTTTTCCACGTGTCATACCTCCTTTCCATATAACAATGAAATTTTACTGGATTGCTATCCATCGCTGGTTGTTTTTTAGCAGAGAATGACCTGTGCATATCGTTTGAGCAGATATTCGCAAAGAGGGTTCCGATATGGATATGCACCGTGATTAAATTTAACGTGTGAATTGCTGTCATAAACATGTATGTATCGGTTACTTCCCCTTTAAAATGTATTTCCTCGATTTGCTGTCTGTGGCTGCTTCTTGTATAATTGTTATAATTATACTGTGATTTAATTAATTACCAAGATATGGTTAAGACAATGATAAAGGAATGACTATAATTATTGTTTTTTTTTATTTATTTCAGTCCATGACACAAATGATTTACATGTTGTACTTTTACAAACGGCTTTAAAAACCGATAAATATTGACAATTTGAGCCGCGTCACGACAAAACCAACATAATGAGTTTGCGACCAGCATGACTCCAGACCAGCCTGCGCATCCGCGCAGTCTGATCAGGATCCATGCTGTTCGCTATCAGTTTATTTACTTGTAATAGGGTTGGTAAGCGAACAGCATGGATCCTGATCAGACTGCGCGGATACGCAGGCTGGTCTGGATCCATGCTGGTCGCAAACGCACTATGTTGGTTTTGTCGTGACACGGCTCATTTCATGTTCGTAAAGCTACCATTTTGTTCTTGTTTTAAAAACTCAAATCACAAGTTCAACAAACAAGTAAATCATTATGTTTTAAATTATGAGCAAAGGTCCCTTATGTTGTCCATGCAGTACTTTAACGCAAATACAAGTAAAAGTTTCCATTAACAACACATCTGCTTGATCAAAATCTTTCTTATGAGTTATATATAGCTATTACTTAAGCTATTGAAAAATATTATATGTTTTTATATCAAAACATAGGAGAACAATGACTCAACTTGTTCCTGGTGTATAAACTGTAGAGTAGTCCGCAAATCAAGTTATCATTGGCTACTTTTCATAAGATGAGACATAACAGAAATTATTATAACGCCATCCATGTTACAAATCGTTCTTTAAGTCATTTTTGAGATCCAAGTCATTTTTGAGATCCTAACTGTCCATTTTAAAGTCTGATATTCCTAGCTTAGTTGTTGGCATTAATTATGCCCCCGCCATGTAATGGCCGGGGCATATAGTGTTACCCTGTTCCGTCATTCCGTCCTTCCGTCCTTCTGTCATTCCGTCATCATCAGTTTCCGTTCATTATCTTAAAAACGGTTGCACACATTCAACTCAAATTTGACATATGGATATGTCATGAAAAAATACAGGTTAACTTCGAATTTGGTCATGGTTCGATGATTTTTGGCAGAGTTATGCCCCTTTTACTTTGAAAATAATATGAAATTTCAGTTTCCGTTCATTATCTCCCCAACGGTATAACACATTCAACTCAAACTTGACATATGGATATGTCATGAGAAAATACAGGTCAAGTTCGAATTTAGTCGTGGTTCGATGATTTTTGGCAGAGTTATGCCCCTTTTACTTTGAAAATAATATGAAATTTTCAGTTTCCGTTCATTATCTTCCCAAAGGTACAACACATTCAACTCAAACTTGACATATGGATGCGTCAAAGGAATGCGCAGGTCAAGTTCAAATTTGGTCATGGTTCAATGATTTTTTGCAGAGTTATGCCCCTTTCACTTTGAAAGTAATATGAAATTTTCAGTTTCCGTTTATTATCTCCCCAATGGTACAACACATTCAACTAAAATTTGACATATGTATATGTTTTTGGAATGCCCAGGCCAAGTTCGAGTTCGGTCATGGTTCAATGATTTTTGGCAGAGTAATGCCCCTTTCACTTTGAAAATAATATGAAATTTACAGTTTCTGTTCATTACCTACCCAACAGTGTTACATATTCAACTTAAATTTGACATATGGATATGTCAAAGGAATGGGCAGGTCAAGTTGGCATTTGGTCATGGTTTGATGATTTTTTGGCAGAGTTATGTACTTTTCACTTTGAAAATAATATAGATACATCTTTGGAATAAGCAGTTTAAGTTTGAATTTGGTTGTAGTTCAATGATTTAAGACAAACTTATCTTTCCTGAATGTTGGAAAAATTTTGAACTTTCAGTTTCAGCACTCTTACTTTTAGCCATTATTTTGGCTACAAATATGCAATATGCTATTTTTAAAAGGTTTAGACTGAATAATTTCAGTGCCTTGAACATTGTATGAAAATGGTTTGTGTTAACATTGAAAAGTTTTAAGGGCTTTGAACTTAAAATGAAAAAAATAATTAATGCACCATCTGAAATTTTGGCTGCATGCGGGGGCATCCGTGGCATGATGACACATTTCTAGTTTTGAATCATCATTTCAGGTTCAATACCCACGCACGCCAAGCGCACCTCTTTGTAAGGTGTTCCTGTGAATTGAAACTGTACCATGCCGCATCATTCCTGCCTGACGACGTCTTTCTTCAGAATCAAAGAAATGATCTCTGTAAAAAGAAGAAAAAAGTTAATGTCGCCAAACAAATATTAGTTTTTGACAAAGTGACAAATAATAAAAAAACTTTCAGGAAAAGTCCGCGTGGGAACACTTATCCGTTTTTTAGGCCCAAACCTGGCAATAAATCTATACACTTTTTTATAATTATCTCAAGGACTTTAGCCATTCTTTCGTGCGCTACATACTTTTTTGATACTCTTACTATTTCTTATAATACAATCATATTTTACCTCCGAGTCGACGGATTTTCTTGAAAAAATAAATGGTCCGAGTGAGCATTCAGCAGGTGCGCGATAACGTAGTATCCTACCATTGATTAAAGTCTTATCACTTTTGTGGCACGTTTAACAATGGTATAGTTTAAGTTCAGAAATTTTTTCATTCTCTTAGTGTTAACTGATACGCCATCCTGCAGCATTCATGTGTTATCTTTAAACAAGCGTCAGATAATATACCCTAGCTGTTTGAAGCATCTGATACAAAGCGGAGGTCACATTACCGTTTATGGACGCAAATCAAGCCACATATATATATATATCTGAACTTAAAAGTACATGCATAGATTGATCAAAATGATAAAAGAGAGAAAAACAGAATCCCTAAAGAAAGCCCAACACGAAAAAAATGAAAATGTTGTTAAACGCGTAAATTAGTACAAAATTATGTCACATCCGTCCGACAACATTACAAGGCTGGGTGGGCCTATCCAGAGTAAGAACAACTTTCACTGACATCATCTTTACGCAACATGCGATTTCATGCACTTTTGCATTTATTGCGCATATATGTAGAATTTGTGTTTCCAATGAAATTAAAAAATGGGGTATCATTTCAAGTGTATCTATTGAACATTTTTAAAATTCTCGAGCCAGTGTTGAGTGAAATATGAGACCATTTGTACATGCGCACTTTTAAGATTTGTTAGATGTAATAATTGCCTTTACTTCTCAAGGTACATGCCAGTAAAGAGGCACAGTGGAAATACCCGTGGTCAACCAACACGAGAGTGACCTGTGACGTGCGAGAATCGAACCTGGGAAGCCCAATTTAGTCCAATGCTTTACCTTTCGTCTAATATGTTTAAAGTTTACTTACGCGATCCGTACGCTGTCCATCCCGGTGCAGTCAGACCATACGTGCAACGAACAGAATCTTTTCGGGTCCCGGCCGGTAACCTGCCGAGTCGAATGCGGTGACCGTTAGACTTCACATAGTAATGTATCAAGATTTTTGGACGTTTATAAATTCAAATTTCACTATTACATTTTGACTTCTGCTCAATCATGTGCTTTGGGGCATGGGCGATAACTTGTACTTTCTAGTTACGTCCATGAACATGATCAAATAAACTTAACCGAGCCGGGATTATTTTTAATTGTGTAGTATTGGGCGTTCTTTAGTGATAGGGAATAACTTGCTCTTTCTAGCACCGTTCATGTGAAGGCTTTATTGAACCAAGCCTGCAGCATTTTCAATTTTGTTGCATCGGGCGTTTTTAGTGATTCCGGTTTCACTAATCTTTGTAAAATGTTTGTTTTTAATTTTGCTTCTTCCTTTTGATTTCACTGTAACGTGTTCAATATAAATTATAATAATTAAGCATACCTTTATCATTTTCAGGTTCTCGCATAGGGAAAAAGGGAAAGAATAAGTTTTAAAATCTACATTGTATCTAATTTTATTTAGAAATCAAAGTAATAGAATATAGCTTTGCAATGATATCCGAATACATTTCAGCCGGTTTAATTATCATTCTGGAGCAAAGAATATTCTTCCGGATTTCCGGGTACTTAACCACACGGCTCTGAAAAGATGATCATTACATATTAATCTATTATAAGTTTGCCAAGGCAAAATTGTACAACATTTTATTTTAATTTTTGCATTAAAAATAAAATTCAAAATCTACATTATTTTCTAAGCTCAAACTTCATTGGCTTATAACGTTTTTTTATTTTTGTTGTTTAATTTTCTTATTAATTAGTTTCCTTATTTCGCCCCTAAAGGGATGTTATATTACTATTAAAATACATTTATGAAAATATGTAAATTATACATTTAGCCATTGTTTATTATGTCTGTTTCTTTACTCCGGACATTTCTGATAAATATCAGGGCAGCATGGCTTATATTGTAAAGGTTACAAAAGACGAGAATAAAGATCAACAAGGCAAAGCTCAGTCGACACACCAAACTTCCACAGCAGGGCACCCAGAAGGCACGGAGTGGACATGAAGGTGGCGAAAGGAGGAGAGGGTCAAGTTATGTGTGAAATAATAAAAACTAAAACTAGCCCATATGGGAATTAAAGGGACAAGAGCTAAAATGGTGAAAGGGGGGTCAAAATGGGAAGGGGGGGGGGTGGAACGGTCAGTGATAGTTAAACCCCTGGGGGTACTTAAACCGGTTAAGGCTAGCCAAACCTCACTATTGGCTCCAATATGTTCCTATATGACAAGACATTGTAAATAAGATTACTCCACGCAAAGTGAAATTCTAACAATGGTCATGGTTACATTAGTACAAAAAAGTACTGCCTAATGACCATAAATAAATAACTCGATGACTTAAAGCAACATAAAATAACATAAAAAGGGCCGACCGAAGCGAGACAGAAGATTAACATTAAGAAAATTCAGTCCGAAGGGGATTTAAGAACTGTCCATTATAAAATCTCCCAATTAGTCCGCCAGATGTAAATAAAAGAGGAAAATGTAGCTACCAACTGTAAAAGGGTTGAAGACCAAGCAGGTGGTATATAAACTTACCTCTAAGGTACAAGAGAAACCATTGGAATCTCAAATCATTCCAATAATTTACACAAATGGTATTTTCCAAGTCAATCTTGCTTGTGTCCTTGACGTTTTTATCATACTGATCCTTGTTGAACACAAACAGACCTAAACAAATTATTCTTTTATAAATATCATTTTTATGTAATGTCTGTTCAATAATAATTGACACTTATCATGTAATTGAGAGAAAAGATCTATAACCACTTTATAAGTTTAGCTAGATTTTGTCAACGCAAAAGAAAGTCTTAATGAATACATACTTAGCCGCACATTTGCAACAGCACAGACGTTCCGAAAAATATCATAACCTTGACATTGAATCCTCCAAATATATTTCGTGGGATCTTTTGACCAATATGCTTCTGTCATTTCAACTATAAGGTAAAATACAAACAGATGTTTTCAATAAGGCCTGGAGATTTGCATAATTAAATGTTAACTTTTTTAGAATAAAAAACAATTGTCAGGTTGATGTTTTCTTTATACTGAAAGATAAAAACTATCTGTTGGTGAAGCAATTATATTGAATTATAAGCAACGTTTTCAGTTTTAATACCTCTTGTATTCTCAAAATTGTTTAAAAAACTAATAACAAATATATTTTAAAAGCCTTATACATAAAAAGATTTAGTCATACTTCCGTAATATTGATATGAATATATGGCTCTGTTTTGTTCCGGATTCAACGTATTTAAGCTTGCAGGATAGAAAAGGCACATAGATCCTCTGAAACTAAAGAAATGCAACACAAAGTATATCAGAAATGTATTTTATTTCATATGACACTAAAATCAAAGTAAAATATATATTAAAGATATACAATTCTTACTTAACTTTTCTAATTTGAATAAAGGATTGAAAACAAATGCTTGGGAAACTGCGATCCTTACAGCTTGTCTTTTCTTTTAAAAAAACACTGCCAGTGTTTATCTTTTTTTTTTGTTAATTTTCGTAGTTCGCAAAGCGGGGAGGGGATTATTGGAATGACCACCGTCTGTCTGTCCGTCTGTAACACTTTTGTGTCCGCTCTTCAACTTTTTAACCTTTATATTTTTTGTTAAAATCTACGTTGCATGTCTAATATTTCAACCCACTGATTCTTTTTAAAATAACATGGCTTTTGTTTTAACCATTATGAGACGATGTGCAGAGCGCAATAACTGGGTTGCTACCCCTAATGTCAATATCACACTCAAAGGTCAAGTGTTACAGAGACTACATTTCGTGCCCGCTCCATAACTTAACCGATAAAAAAACTTGACACAAGTAATCATCTTTTTGATACAAGGTGCAGAGCTCAATAATTGGGTTGCTACACATAAGGTAAAGGTCACACTTTAAGGTCAAATCAAAAAATCAAATATCAAATTTGAGCATAAAATATGCTTAATATTTTGTAAGAAGTACAAAGTAAGTGCAATAAACAAAGGCTTATTTGGAAACTTTTGTGCAGATACAGAAGTAAAAAGTTTTAATTTTGAAATTAATGTCAGCTTCTTGTACCTGATTGACTGCGTTTATAAACGAAACAGTGTTATCTTCTGTGACATGTTAAGCTTTTTACACACTGACAAGTTTAAGATATAGACATTGGCTATGATATTCTCTTAATAACTTTTATTTACCCTGAAGTGCAATTTCTCTGGTATACGTCTTTGTCCACTTTTACGATTTTACAGTAGAAATTCGGATCTGGATAGAACGATGGCGGATAAGGTAGAGCAAATTCAACTTGGCCAAGTAATGCATTTTTGCTAATCTGAAATGATTGTGAAAATATACGTTGAGCTAGGTGTATAAATTTCAATCACTTAGAAAACAATAAAACAAATAATCAATTTAGAGGTAATAATTTATTGTGAATACAATTGCAACGATCTTTTATTGACCCCTGGATATATGTGATACATACGTTTTGTAATATTAAGTCTTTATACGCATTACAAGTATTCGGGCAAGTATAACGCGGGTACAAATTATGTTTATGCTTTTCTGTGAACAATATTGGATTGTATTTATAAAGTAGTCAGAGAAATAAAAGTCAGGCTGGGACATTTGAACCAACAGAAATTCAAATGTATTTTGACTTTTTATTAGCCTTTGAAATTTACGCCGAGCGATATTCATCAACTCATTCAAAAGTGATGTTCAAACTGGAGTTGAAATTCGAGGAAGCTCGTAAATCGAAATTCAAACGTAGCATCATAAGTTGTTATTATTGTTTTCAGTTATTACATTTCGAGCTCTAGATAAATATTGAGCCAAGTTGAAGATCGAAATTTAAAATTACCATTACTTAAATTTCATAATGGAATTGTTTTTCGATTCAACTGGAAGATCGAAATTCATAGTTTTGAATGAGTTTAATTTCGACCTGGAGTTGTTTTTCTAGGCAGGTCCAAGATCAAAAGTAAAAATTAATTAGAATTCAACTCCAGTAATTAAGTTTTACAAGTTTTGAATTACTTTGAGCTTCCTCTTACTTCAACATTAACTCGAAATTCAGTTTTCAATGATGTCTTGAATTTCGATTTTCAAGTTATCTTGAGCTTCAACTTCAAGTCGAATTCCAAACTATGAATAAAATTCTTTGAGGTTACTTGAAAAACAACTTTAGCACAAAATTCATTTAGTGTTTTTGATAAATTTCATTATTCAAGATGCCTTAAAATTCAACTCCACCATAATAACAACTAATGCTGCTTTTGAATTTATATCTTCGAGCTACCTCAAAATTCAACTCCAGCTCGAAATTTGACAAATTGTAATTTTCAATAAATGTGCAAGGAGCTCTGAATTTTATAGAAATTCAAAGTCAGCCGGCCGGCTCGAAGTGCAATGGCAACTTGAAATGCGAATATTCTGAATTTCTAATGTTCGATGTCAGTCCTGACTTCTCATAAATGTATTTTCTGGGAGTAACTGTACGTTAAACAGCTTTTTTTGTCACTTACGAACAATTTTTCCAAACTTCGTATGACAAGAGAGATAAAATAGATTTATTTTGACTACCAACTTCTAACGTAAATACCTATGTGTCAGTTTCACTGCTTTTGCAGTTTCTTTCCGTCTTTTTGCAATAGATGCTGTGTGAAAAGGAAGTGATGATTTAAAGTTAATTACATTTCTTTAACGTTTGTTATTTGTACTGAAATTTGACAGACCGCATTGCAACTTCTTATCTAACGTAATTGAAATAAGGCACAATAATTAATGCATCTGTCGCACGATACCAGCAGAATGGACAAAAAATGTTGTTTTATGTACTCTTTCTCACTGATATTCTACTAGAAGGTGCCGGTAGGCAAGTATAATAAGACCAAATCTAAGTGGTAATTTAAAAATGACTTTGATATACAAAATGAAATATTTTTAAGATGTACAGCGAACGGATCAAAGAGTTTGCACTTTAACCTCTGAAAGAGTATATTCTAATATTATGATACAATATTAGTTGCAAAGTCGGGTTTTCATTTTAAAAAATATTTATTAAGATGATCTATACAATTTGGAAACAGAGCCACCTGCATTTAATTTTCTAAGTGTTAGCACGCAATCAGGAATACTGGAAACCCCACGCCCGTTTTAATGCAAAGCTTGTGCCGATGGTGTGCGTTAAGAAAACATTGGGATAAAAAAATATTAAAACATACCATAGAGTCGAATGCGGCTCGAGTCAAGAGAACTTCGTTTATTGGAAACATGACATTGCTCGGGTTCCATATACAATTTTGCCCACTGCCGGATGCCACAATTCCGCACAATATAAGAGTTGTAACGAGATATATTTCCATGTTTCAGCGTCAACGTTCAGCTAGACTGTGTGATAATTACACGTCTCCAACAAATTCTTTTATAACACATGGGAGATGTTCCTGTATGTTCAATAGACATGATTACAACAAATCTATGAAGACTCAAATGTATGACACTGAAAGCAATCTCGTATCAACATCTATCTATTTTATGTTTGCTGTTCAGAACTACTGAATGTATTTGATGTCATTTTCGAGATTAAACAACTTATTCACATGTGGACAATAAAACATATGCCTATGTTATATAAGCTTCTTTTTTTAAGATAATATGTTTGTTATCTTCTCTCTCTCTCCCACTCACCCCCCTCTCTCTCTCTCCCTCTCTCTTAAATGTATAATTTAAAGTCATATCTAGTATACTTTTCTATATCCTTAATATACTCAATGCACGGACAAATATGACTTATAATAGATACAAAAAGTGTTTAAGCATACTTAACTACATATTCATTGTATCTTTATTACAAAATTTGTAATTTTTATTTAAAAATGACTTTGATATACAAAATGAAATATTTTTAAGATGTACAGCGAACGGATCAAAGAGTTTGCACTTTAACCTCTGAAAGAGTATATTCTAATATTATGATACAATATTAGTTGCAAAGTCGGGTTTTCATTTTAAAAAATATTTATTAAGATGATCTATACAATTTGGAAACAGAGCCACTGCATTTAATTTTCTAAGTGTTAGCACGCAATCAGGAATACTGGAAACCCACGCCCGTTTTAATGCAAAGCTTGTGCCGATGGTGTGCGTTAAGAAAACATTGGGATAAAAAAATATTAAAACATACCATAGAGTCGAATGCGGCTCGAGTCAAGAGAACTTCGTTTATTGGAAACATGACATTGCTCGGGTTCCATATACAATTTTGCCCACTGCCGGATGCCACAATTCCGCACAATATAAGAGTTGTAACGAGATATATTTCCATGTTTCAGCGTCAACGTTCAGCTAGACTGTGTGATAATTACACGTCTCCAACAAATTCTTTTATAACACATGGGAGATGTTCCTGTATGTTCAATAGACATGATTACAACAAATCTATGAAGACTCAAATGTATGATACTGAAAGCAATCTCGTATCAACATCTATCTATTTTATGTTTGCTGTTCAGAACTACTGAATGTATTTGATGTCATTTTCGAGATTTAACAATTTATTCACATGTGGACAATAAAACATATGCCTATGTTATATAAGCTTCTTTTTTTAAGATAATATGTTTGTTATCTTCTCTCTCTCCTCCCTCTCTCTCTCTCTCTCTCTCTCTCTCCTCTAGTGAAATTGTAAGTCTATTAGATATTTTCTATTTCACTTAATATCTCAAGGCACGGACAATATGACTATATAGATACTAAAAGTGTTTAGCATATTAATGACATATTCATTGTAGTTTTTTGCAACAAATTTGTAATTATGTTTTATACCTAAGTTTTTGTATCTTCTAAAAAATACTAATCAACTTCTGCAATGTTACACCAGCATATTTTGTATTGCTCGGCATGATGAGCCTTCTTTCGATTACTTTAAATACCACCTTAGAAATAAGTGAAATGTGTCATATAGTCACAAAAATAAATGTAATATTAAAACTGTTTAGCGAATCATTTGATGTTTGGTTATGTGAAATATGTGCGATTTAAATTCCATTCAATCTATATACTGAATTTTGACTTTAAATATATCCATGGTATAGTAAGACGTGACGTAAGATGATATGGAAAGTTAGATAATCAGAGATTGAGATGATGCAATTTTAATTGACAGGGATGATGCATAAATTGAACGTTACGAGTAAATAAATTCCAAATCACTGTAATGGAAATAATAGAAAAGGAATAATGCACTTATTTCTCAAAACGTTTTGTTGTATTATTATCTGGACATCAGACCTGAGATATCTTATTAAAATTGTTAGAAAATAAGATGTGTGAGGTTGGCGACCAAGCGGCCCACAGGCCTAGCAGCATGAAGTTGGCGGCCTAGCGGTCCAGCGTCCTAGCAACGTGAGGTTGGCGACCTAGCATATTTATAACGACTCTTAATTAGGTTTTCAATACATATCTTGCCATTTAAAAGTTACACAAAACAAAAGAAAAATGCATACAGAAAGTTTTTGTTTTCCAGAGAGAACAGTTTGATTTTGTCATTTTTATGAAGTTTGCGGCCTAGCTGCCCAGCGGCCCAGTGACCTAAAATTGAAATGTTGTAAAGGTTGTCAAAGAAATCAAAACGACTCTTCATTAAGTTTTTAAGACATTTCTTGTCATTTAAAGGTTCAACAAAAAGAAGAAGAAACAAATTCAGAAAGTTTTTGTTTTCCAGCGGTCTTGGCAGCCCAAAATTTTAATGTTGTAGAAATGTTATAAAAGAAATAAAATCCACACTTCATGCAGTTCGTAAGACGTTTTTTTTCATATGCAAAAGATATACTCGTATAAGATAAAATCACTTTGACAAAACTTTTTGGTTGTTTATAATTTTTGTTAATTTGTCGTCCTAGTGGTCTAAAACTATATTGTTGTATTAGTTTGTCAATGTAATAACAACGACTCTTAATAATGTTTTTAAAGACATATCTTGACATTTAAAAGAATACATCACATTCAGAAAGATTTTAATTTATTATTTTTGTGAGGTTAGCGGCCCAGAGGTCTGTCGGCCTAATTAGTTAAAATAATTAAATGTTATAAAATCAATAAAAACGACATTTAATGAAGTTCATAATACAATTCTTGTTATTTAAAAGATATATAGACAAAAAATCACTTGAGAGATTTTTTCATTTTATCATTTTTGTGAAGTCGGTGGCCTAGCGGCTAAGCGTTCTAAAATTTGACAGTTGTAGAAATGTTATAACAACCCAATAAATGTCATTAAATAAAGTTCTAAGGACAATTCTTGACATTCAAAATATCTTAAAACAAAATACATGTATCACTTTGAGATAATTTTTAATCCTTTAAGTGAAGTAAGCGGCAGAAACTTGCCATGTACATGGTGTACAATTCTGTAATAAATATAAAATTGACCTTACTGAATTTCTTACGTTTTTTTATACATTTTTTTATTTATTATGATACAATATTAGTTGCAAAGTCGGACTTCGGTTTTTATTTTCGAATGATCTAAATCATAAGAAAATTGAGCCACTTTCATTTAATCTTATAAGTGTTAGCACCCAGACAGTAGCTACGGTAATCCAACGCTTATATTAAAGCAAAGTAAAGCTGATGCCGAAGGTGTGCATTAAGAACGCGCATGGATAAAAAGTAAATATTAAAGGTAGACCATGGCTAAAAGGAACTGTAAAATTGACAAAACATAGGACAGTTATATGCCTTATAGGTCAAATGTATTCCAAAACTTGAATAAAATTGACCGTGTGGTTTATGAGTTATTGATATTTTTTCTGAACTAAACTAAAAAGACCTTTTTTTTCAGAAATGAGGGAACTCTAAATAATCTATATTATCATTATGAAAAATGTTTTCCTATTGCTCATTGTTGAGAAACAAAAAATAACCTTCAGGTAACAAATAACAAGGGCAGAATGGTTGTTTCTAAACAAATTGTTTTTAATATGTATATAAAAATGTATAAAAATGTTACACTACCCCACCCACTTATAACACTTATTTGACCATTTTCCTATATAAAAAGCCTTATTTAAAGCTATCCTTAAACTTTACCACAAATTGAGGGGCCTGTTTTCAAAGTTTGCCTTAATTACCTTAAAAGTATATTGGTTGATCATGCGAAATATAAAATACTGTAACCGTATAGCTTTTATTTTATTAAACTTTGAAAATATCTGGTATCATATTTGCTATATAGCATTATTTAGCAAATAAATACCTACAATAATTATATATTCAAATCAAACACGACGCTTCCATGCTTTAGTGTCTACCTTGAGCTAGACTATGTGATAATAACACGTGTCTAACAAATTCTTTTATCACATGGGAGATATTCCTTCATGGTGTTCAGACATGATTAATACAAATTTATGTGGATTCCAGTATATGACACTGAAAGCAATCTTTTGCTTTTCAGAACAATCTTTTGCTTTTCAGAACAATCTTTTGCTGTTCAGAACTACTGAATGTATTAGTTTGTCATTTTCGAGATAAAGTAACTTATTCACGTTTGGGGATATGAAACATATGTCTATGTTATATATGCTGCTTTGTTCGAAGATAATATGTCTGTTATGTTTCCGCCTCTCTGTATGGAAATAAACTTGAGTCGTAGTTTTCAATTACTGATACAAGAAATATGTTACAAGCAAATTCAGCGTTATATGAAACAGATAAATCTGATGAATTGTGCAAAATCCAACATTTGTATTCAGAGAACGATTTGAAAGAACAACAGTTGTTAGTCTGTGTCGGGATATATTCTGTATTCTCAGTATCTTTCTAAAAATATACTGAATCAAATCCATTCAGCATGTATCTGTTACGAGTAACCTTCCCTTCCCAAATGTACTTATGCTCTCAAAAGTGGCCACCGTGTATCAAACACATAACACCTGACTGATATATATTGAAATAAAGAAAGAAAACAATGCTTTATTATCGCTGATCTCATTTTGAATACAATGTTCCGAAATATTCAATAACAAAACATAATACCGCCAGAAAGAAATTTTGTATAATTATACTTATTTTACGTAAATACCGTGTGAGGATGATAAAAGAAGGAAAGGTTGTGCAATGAATTTGCAATTCTGATTTGCTTTAAACACTTTTTATTTCATATAGTTCAAACATAAACAATTATGTACAACGACATGATATAATAAGTAGTGAAAAGGGAAGTCAAAAACTCAATATGTAAATTTATTTTCCTGTGAACAGTAAAATGATAACATGGTGTTCAGTACCTAAACGTTTTAGTGCACTAGTTAATAACAAGAAATAATAACATTTATAACAAGTGAAATGAGTAATATAAAAACTGTGGTGCAATCATATTGAATTATTATTTTTAAGTGAGAATAAGTACGGAACAAAATTATTTGATGTGCGCTTTTAAATTTAAACAAATATTTCATATTAATTTGTATTAGATTTCATCATTTATTGCACATGTTAATTGTAAGGAAGTGATGTAGATAATTGGATAGTTATAGAGAAAGAACTCAGAGAGCGAGATGCAGCCATTATTTTAGAACGGGAGATTAACAATGACGACCAATATGAACAGTAAAAGAAAGCAGTTGCTTCCCTTGCTATGATGTTTCTCCTGCGTTGTAATATAACCTTGCATATTTATAATGCTGTAATAAAATAGTTTCGTAAAGTACACGCCTTACAATATCGTTATTTTACATAACACTTCTGACTTCATGCGCAAGTAAACAAAAAATATGGTGGTATATGTGTGACATGTGCACTGCTTTAATTATTTACTAAATTTATGCTTTAATATTTCGTCAGTTGTATATATACTAACGTCAGTTCACTTTTTTCAGCATATTGCGTATCATCATCATTACCGTTAATGTAATTGTTATTACTATCGTCCTATCATCGTTCTTTTTTTTCGACCTAAGGCCGGTCTGTTTTCAGTTTGACTTTCTGAAAAATTTACAGGAAAACAAATGAATAAAAGAAGAGTTTTCATTGTTTTTTTTTAAATTACTAAATGAAATCTTGGAATCTCATTAGCCATTGTAAAATAAAATGTTAAGGATAGTTCTTGCCATTATTAAATAAAATGTAAAGTATATTCTAGTTACGTTAGACATTTCTGAGTTTATTTTCACAAGATCTGAGTTTGAAATTTGTCCAAAATAACGAGAATAATATAAGAATTTATCAGGTACCATATAAGTTTATGTTGTTCAATGAATTGTAATCAATTGATATATAATCTTTATAATCTTCATAAATTTTTGCATATTTATCAAGTATTAATACAAAGTAATTGGCTTACCGACTGTGTAGATTTTGTGTAAGAAATCGAGTTCACTTACCGAAATACGACAGGTTTGTAATGAAACACATACATTTTGAAGTTTTCCATTTTTTAAGATTTATAATCATAGAAGAAATTGTTATGCCATTGTTATGCAAGCTAAGCTAACATTTCTTTATGATTCTGCACGGAAAACTGTGAAGTAACATATACAAGTTAACCAGTTTTACTTCGGCTTTATTTTGATTAAAACAATAAACAAAAATGGAAGATTACTGATCTTTGAAATTGAAAACGGTCCTTTGTTTATACATATAAAAGATTGAAACTGATACAGATAAAAATCGATTAAAGTGGTAAAACAAGTAAATGACAATTTTGATAATTAATAATACGAGTATACTTGAGTAAAACAACTTGGAAAAATTAACATAATGTAAAAGTAAAAAGAGAAAAAACGGAATCGCTAAAGAACGATGTGTAAGCTGGCATAATACATTTTAATCACTTTGAAAACACATTATCAATTTAGATGTCTTGATTAATTGTGAATACAATTGCAACCATATTTCAACCCTGGATATATGCCGTGACACATACGTTTACTGGTACTGAGAGTTTAAAACTAGCACTGCCAATTACAGAAATAATATCTAGATTTCACCTAATTTTAGTCATAAATATATATATATATATATATATATATATATATATATATATATATATATATATATATATTATATTTTTTTATATTTTTGCTTTTTTGCGTTAACACTTTTTCACAAAAGTGCATTTTCGCTTCACTGCATTTTCAGTTTTTACATCTTGGTGTTCGGTTATGCGTGTGTAGATTTATTTGCCACGTGGATTAATTGAGTTAAAAGTAAGCACTCTCCAATACTCTTTGAAAGTGCGAAAACAAGGATAGACAAGAAAGTTCTACCCTGTACATTTGTTTTGGAGCACATTAGTCTTATGTAAGACCGATGCGGTCGCATTTGTCCCAAATGATACAAATGGGACCTCAAATGTCTTCTCCAAAAACACATGTGTGTGGCAAAAGTGCTTTTTTTCCCACGGCAGACATTTTGTTTAGAATAGAGATTCGCTGTTTTACCTCATGTCAAGTGTAATCATCAATAAAATAGTTTTGCTATTTTTTTCTTTATGAAATCTTAAACCTACATATTTCCTTACATGTTAATCTTAATTATTTAACTCCGATATATATATTCAATCATACCTTTCCTTACATTCTTCCTTTCTTTTAGCATTTCACCATAATTTACTTTAGATTTTCTATAGTGATAATTTAACAATATATTATTCTCTTATTCTTTGTTGTACATTCAAAGAGCTTACATCTAACCGCAACATTTTTGTATCTTTATCTTGAAAATTACTTTTACTGGAGAGGAATTGATATTAGTATTGTTTTACTTGTTTTCCAATCCAGTCTGAATTACATTGTTGTGCAATGTTTGTAAATGTCATTTATGTACAATTTATTGAATAAATAAAGTTTAAACTAAACCTAAAAACTACAGTAGAACTATTAATTCTAATATCCCTAATTCAAGAAATTCGATTGGCTGAACCTGTAGGCGCACACTGAAACATACAGGATCCCGTTCACGGTGGTACAATGATGAAAGCGCGATGACCCGATGGTACGATAATTGAAACGCGATGATATGATGGTTAAAACGCACTGGTACGAACGTGACACAACGTTTGTACGATAGTGAAACAACGATGGTAGATGGTGAAACAGCGATTGCACGATGATGAAAACCTGATGGTACGATGATGAAAACACGATGTTACAATGCTGAAAATAACATGGTACGATGATGAAACTGCGATTACATAATGGTTACACATCGTGAGACAAATGTACTCCGAGACAAATGTGCTTCTACATTGCTCTCCTGCTGTTGTACTTTTACATTTTCCATGTAAAAAACAAACACGTGTTTTTCGTCTATTCGTGTTTTCGCATTTGATATTGTGGCGAAAAAGCAAACATACAACATGGACTAAATTAGCCACCATATCTTACAAATAATATCATTCACTCCAATCGATTTAAGTATGAGAAAAACAATATAAAGAGAGAGAAACGTTTATGAAACGCAGGTCCTGAGACATCAAGTGTTATCGAAAAGCGTCCAATGCGTCACCAGATAGTGCACACTTTACATTGTAATTATTAAAATATGTTTAAATTTAAGCCCGTCTCAGTATATCAACGTTCCTTTTATCAAAATACTTCGCGTCCAAACAAATACCTATAATTACCCATGAAAAAAAAGATCCTTCAAATGTAAAAAATATCGTTTATCGTCTATATCAACAATCTTGTAAATAGTTGTATGAATACCATAAACGAATATACACGTAATCGATATTTTGGTTTGTCATTATCCGTCTAAACCTGTTTAAAAAGAAGAATTTAATATGGATTCTTTAGTGCCTGAACATTTTGAAGCTCTTAACCAGGAGAAACCATTTGTTGAAACTGGAGAGTGTTCAGATGAAATAGCCTTAAAATTTGATGACGATAATGCATTGTATGTGTCTAAAAACTTTCTAAGCTACGCTTCTCCAGTTTTTAAAGCGATGTTTCAGGAAGGCTTCAAAGAAAGCGAGGAGAAAACAGTTAATCTGAAGGGCAAAAAATACGAGGATATGCTAGAGCTATTGTTGTGCATACATCCTGCTGTTTTGAAACCAGATGACCGTAAGTAAATTAATTATTAGTTTTTAAATCAATTTTGCCGGTTTTCTATCGTCTTTGTCTTTTATACTAAGTGTATTTTAATTATAAAATTAATTTTCAAGACACAGATGTATGGTGGCTGATTTGCGCCATTCGTGTTTTAAACTTCGCACCGCGCCACCGCTAATAAGCGTGTTTTTGCTCCGCGCCCCGCCATGTTTACTTGTACGAATGGCACAAATCGGTCACCATATAGATGCACAGAGATATCAGAAAGTGTTCCTTTTCCTTATTCAGAGTGTAATTTTATATGGTTTTAATAAGATAACAGTTTTTGATAAAATGTCGTCACCAGGTTGCCAGGTGACCATACCACGTTTAAAGCTTATACAGCATTCTGATACGAAACCGGCTATAAATATTTACATTTTTCATAGAATGAATTACTTTGAAATCATTACTGTTATTTATTACAGGTTCAAACGTCCTTTGTATACTGCCATTGACTGACGAATATCACATGACTGTTATAAAACACAAATGTGAAGAAACTATTAAAGTCTGGTTGCAAGAAACACAGAGCTCGATCCAGTCAAATGCAAATGTTTCTTCCTCTACACAATACAAACGAGCGAAAGTGTGTCTGAAGATATTAGCACTTGTGGCCGCTATAAGTCATGAAGATCTGATCAACAATGCAGTTGAGGTTATCTCCTTGTGTCGGTCTAAATCATTTACTGGGGTACATTTTACAACAAGTTACGAAAAAAGCGATGATGATCCTTTAACACACAGAGAAAGCTGTGCACAAATCTTTTGCAACCTACCAGATGAAATGAAGATTAAAGTTCAATCCGCAAGATTAAACCGTTGTGATGCATAATAATTGAATAGACCGTTGGCCAGTGAAGTGATCATCCGCTCTTCCCTTCTTTATGAAATTTTGTACAGTCACTATGATTTTCTTAAAAGATATGGTCCGATGAGTATTTTAATGTTTTAGACATCTGGCCAAAGGGACTTAAAGGAGATATGATGAAAAACGCTAATCTAGAGGCTCATAGGGAAGACTGGGCATGCCTAATTATGTTGCCTCTTTAAATAAAGTCTTTATTACTATTATTATTATTACCCCACTTTTTTATTTTCAGTCATAAATATATTCTCAGTCTTTATTGCATATAGCCAATCATATTTATACAAAATACATTTTTTTAGCTCTATAAGAATTAGATATCTAAATGTCTTATTAAAATCTTTTTCAATTGGCTGCTTATTATATATGCTACAAATGATTTTTATATTACACCCCCCCCCCACCATCATTATACATGATGAATTTGAAAAAAACCTTACTAATTATTCACCTTGTTATAGAGACGTTATTCCTATTCTAAAAAGTACTCTAAAGTAGCAAAACTGCACATGTTCACAAAAGAATACATAAGATATGTGATGAAACTAAGAGAGAAATACTTAATAAAGTACAGTAATGCAACTAATGGCGGCTAATAGAACAAAAGTAGAACTACTATGATACCAGTACTTAGATATTTCCACAGTTCCTCACAATACGCAGTGAGGCGTATTACTTTTAACAGAGTATTTTTTACATAACGTAGTTTAACATTCATATTGAAGATCCTCTCCGTTTTCCAATTCTTATTTTCACAACAGCAGCGCTAAGTGCTGGTTAACAGCTGCTTACTTTATCTCAGTGTTGTATTTTCTTTCCTGTCCCCCGGGGTCATTTACTCATGTACGTAATTATGTTACCATTTAAATACTGTTTAGGTCGGTGCTAGGGGGCGTTAAAGGCGTAGCATCTTCCAGTATCTTTCATGAATTATAGACTCTATCAAACTTTGTATCCAAGTCTATCCGTTGCCCAAAGTCTACACAGATCACTTAACATTGACTAATATGCATTGTACCATTATGTAAAATTATAGCACTGGCACTTTCTGAAATGTTTCAGGAAGTCTCTGCAGAACCATGTGAAATTTTCTTTTAAAAAACTAGCAGTAATCTTTAAAATTTATCTTTTTGAAAAGCGAACTTCATAACACTAATAAAAGCATTTTTTTTGTTTGTTAGATTCTTTTTTGTATTTTTCTTGCAGCGAGGAAAACTTTGCAATTCTTAGCAGTAAACAGAGAATAATACAGTACTTTATTTTTTTTGAACCCGAATTAACATTTAAATAATATACTTTTTACTTCAACATGCAAATCTTTAAATTTACTAAATTTATGTTGACATTTACATTAGAAAATAAAATGAACTAATACCTCTTTCCCAGTTGGAACTTTTCGGACTTTTTCGTCAGTCTTCGGAAAAGGACCTCGAACACAAAAGTATACACATACAATACACATACCGGATGCGGTATTTCGGTCTAACCAACGCTAACAAATTAAACATGTAAAGAGATAGATATTTAATGCTTGGAGCTGTTGGCAAGTTTATTTCCAATATATCAGGTTATAAATTAAAGTCCATCTAAAATAAGTGAATTCACAAAAGCAAGCAATACATTATTTATATACTTATTATTGTGGTTGTAGAAACCGAAGGCACAACATACCAACCTGTTGACATCGAGTTGAATTTATCAGTAGGCATATATAAATTAAAAATGTTTGTCAGGCATATTTTATCATAATTGTACCGAAACAGACTTTATTTTCTATGGTATGTCGAATATATGCATTCGTTTACCTTTATCGGAGATTACACTCCCTGTTTCTGCATGTGGTAGAACTGCTTTTAATCCGTATTAACTCCGAGACTATCAATAGACGAGGATGATCCGATTGGCTAAATCACTAAAAATGTAATGAGATAGTTATTTAATGATTTAAGGGGGGTGGGAGGGGGTGGGGGCTTTTGACTAAGTTTATTCCAATATAGCAATATATACACAATTGAAGTAAATTTATATAAAACATAAAAGTAAATTTTTCCTTTTTTGTAAGCTTATTTTAATTATGTTTTAAGAAACAGAAGTTACAAATTGTATACCGGTTGACTTAATTTGGACTTGGTCGTTATTGTACATCATTGTCCACTTTTAAATTGATTATTATTACGCTTTTTCAATAATAATGTTGCTGTACTAGACTTTATTGTCTTTTAATGTCATACATTATCAAATATTGCAAACACTTGTTTTTGTTTCCATCTAAATCCACGTGGAAGAACTTCTTTGAATGAAAACCGAGATTATTATGAATAAAATTCGAGGAGTTCCGATTGCACAAACCTCTTCTTGTTATAACCTTATCTGTTTATTTACTGTCGTCAAGGTAAAACCAAAACACCGTACTCGATCTTGGTATTCGTTTTCCTAATCCGAAGTTTGACGTACAAGACGAAAACTCGTGAATCGGTTTAATTGCAATTGTGATATCTCAACATTTTCACAAAACTTTCCAATAAGAGAAACAATTAAATTGTCAACAAATGCTTTGAAGGAAAGCTTAAATCTTACCATGATAAATATCTTAAATGAACATACAATCATATTATGTATATTTCTTTTGTTGTCGCATATCATTAATGTTTATTCTTAAAGCTTTTATTTCCCTATATTCATAAAAAAGAGTGGGCTTATCTTTTTTGTATGTTTTTTTCTCTTTACTGACAAACTTGACCTTACTTATATTCTTCTTATACACACCATATTCTTATCTTCTTATACACACCATATCTCTAGCCGACCTTATTTTGACGTATTAGATATGCCTATAACCTTTATTTTTTGCTGAACTGTAAGTTCGCTATAATAATGTTATCTTCTTGCTTCGTTATCAAGTTATATAAAATCAATATTGCGTTGATAAGTTGTTCAAGTTTCGGTTTCAATTTTCTGAAAATATGTTCTCTCTCTGTTTTTAGAAAATGTGGTTTTAAAAATATGTACACATTTCTCGGTATTGTTATAGTACAATCACTTTTGATATTTGAATATCTAATAATTAAGTTTCAATGATGGATTTATCTGAACGTTTATCGAATCTTATGTCTGAGAAAATTACGCCTTTCGTTAAAAGTGGCGAGTGTTCAGATGAAGTTTCTTTGTGTTTTGATGATGGGAGGAAACTTTACGTTTCACGAAACTTCCTCTGTTATGCTTCTCCTGTCTTTAAGACTATGTTTCAAATGAAAGAACCAGACGAAATAGAAGTTATCATGTCAGGAGCAGTGTATGGTGACTTTCTAGAGCTGCTTTCGTGTCTTCATCCTGGTGTGCAGAAGCAAATTGATTGTGAGTTTGTGTTTACTTTGTTGTGATAAGAAACATTTTAACAAATTGTATATTTTTGCTGTTACCTTGTAGGTAATATTGAAATTGATTAAGAGTTAAAAAAAGATTACTTAATTGTACAACATTAAATAATTCTACTTGTGCTTCGTATACGAACACCAAAAGAAGGTTACATGGAGTAAATGGAAAGGTCAAGCAAATTGGATGCATAGTTGATGACGTACATTTCTTTTTCATTTTTCAATCATTCATTGTTAAATTATTGTTTTTGTCTAAAACCATATTAGTAAATAAATCAAAGAAATGTTTTATACAAACAGAGTTAAAAGATAACAAAATAAGAAGCGTAGTGTTCGAAAATGTTGGCTGTCCTTTCTAACTTTAATTACCTCCCTTTATCATTTGTTTTAATCAACGCCCGTTTTGATTTTCAGACTGTTGTCCGGAGCATTGCTTTGATTCTCGGAATATGATTATTACTATATTATAGTGCTATCTTGAGTTATTTTATCATTCATCCTTCCTCAATTTCATAACTTCCCTTTGAAAACTTTTATAGAATAAACATTGTGTTTTTATTTTACATCGTTTTAGGTACCAACGTTTTGCGTATTGTGTCTCTTGCAAAGGAGTATCAAATACAAAGCTTCGAGAAAAGATGCCAAAAAGTAATGATAAAATGGTTGTCTATAGAGGTTGATTCTGCTTGTTCTAAAGATGGTGATATAAAGAAGGTACAGAATGCCAAAACATGTCTCAATATATTAATCAAGGCAATAGCTCTGGACTATGAAGACGTTGTCACCCATGCAATAGAAGTTTTAGCAAGATTTGGCTTTGACGTATTTACTGGTGTTATGACAAAACCTGCATTCAAATTCGGAGAATCTAATTTTTCAAAGGCGCCGCCCGTCTCTTTGGCTTTTGGTAAAAAGGATGAAAAACCAGAAATCAAATATACAAATGACAAAAGCTTCAATTTCTTTACTCCGGCTCCGACTAATTCGGGTACAGAAGATTCAATGGACGCCTGCAAAGAATTGTATGATAGTTTATCAGAAGATATAAAAACTAGACTACTTCTGCAACGACTAAAATTATGTGATGACTGTTTCATGCGCAAAGTGCTAAGTGATGGTAAAAGTATCGTAGTCAACCAGTCTTCAAAATAATATACAATTTATCACCTGAAATTAATATATTTTAATATGACTTAATCTAAGGCTCCCAAGCATACAATGTTTGTCCCGACTCCATTGCAGTGTGTCCTATACTGTATTTTTATCAAACGTAGTACATGTAGTAAGTAATCAAATTGGAAATATGAATACAATGACTTTTATAACACAAAGAAGTATCACCGTTTAAACGGTAGTGTTTCAGTTTTTAGCATTCATGATAACGTTTACAAACGTGGGAGCCTTAAGTTGAGTAGATCTATAAATAGTTGTTTTTGTTTGATTCTTATGAAAATATGTAAATGATATAATGCTATAGATATGAATGTTTTAAGTCACTTTTGTCAATGGCCTAGGGATAATTCTAGCGGGGACCAGACCAACCAAATAATTACCATTGTTTACATATCTATCAACAACAACTCTTTCACTATTATTTCGCAGGAAAATAAACTATGTGTCAAGAAATGTATGTTTAATTTTCATTATGATATTTAATTGCTTATAAAATGCCTGAAACAATTTTGTTTTTAAATTGCCTGGAACAACGTGAATTTGAAATTATCGTATAATATTTTGTATTAATTTAACAAACTAATAATAATTCTAGTAACACTAACTGAAAGCTTTTTTGTTACTTAATATTTAATATCATAATAGTTCTAAAATAAAGCAAATATTAAAATAGAGAAAAACAGAATCCCTAACGATAGATCAACACGGCAAAATTGTTAAATGTTGCAGGCTCGGTTTGATTGAGCCTGTTCATGGACGGTACTGGAAAGTGCAAGTTACCGTCCACGCCCCCTAGCACCGGCTTAAGTTCGTGTTATTTTTTTACCTAATAAAATATTTATTAAAGAACACCAGCGTTTGATTTTGATATGCACTAAAATGAAATGAAAAACATGTCTAAATCATTTACCTTGTACCCGACAAATAACTGGAGAAGGACATGAAAAAGAACGCACATTATATATATGCATGCCGTTTTACTTAAGATAATAATGCCAGATAGCGCGGTAACCATTTTTGCTAAAATTTCTACTTTTCAACTTCAGCCTTCTTCTGTATTGAACAAAGTCTGCATTTTAGCTCATCTGAGCTCACTATTCAAATTATTGCCTTTAGATCAAAATTGGCCCCGCTCCAGGGGGGGGGGGGTGCGCTTTGATTTTCCTTATATGTTATAATAAATTCAAAAGAATATTCTTCTATTATACTACAGAGGCTTTAGCTAAGATATTCAAATGGTATTAAACATGGTCCGATGGACCTCTGCAATAATTGTTCAAATTATGGTTCTTGGGTTATAACTGGTCCCGCCCCAGGTGGTGTTTGATTTTCCTTACATGTTTATAGTAAAAAAAAGTCTCTTTTTATAATATTCAAGATGCTTTAGATTAGATATTTGGTTTAAAAATTGTCTGGTGGGCCTCTACAAATATTGTCAAAATAAAGCTCTTTGGTCAAATATGGCTCAACGGGGGCATGCCTTTTCCTTTTACAGTTAATACTTAAAAATGTCTTCTTAAAAACTAAAAGGGCCTTATGTAAGATATTATACATGAAACATTGTTTTGTGGACATCTACAAAACTTGTTCAAATCATAGCCTTCGAGTCAAAATTGGCCCCGCCCCGGGGTCATAGAACCAGTGAATTTCCATAGTAAACATTAAATCCCATGGTAGCCATTAGATTTTCATAGCAACAATTTACTTACATAGAAACCAATGACTTCCCATTGCAACCAGTGAATAGCATAGAAACCAATGACTTTTAAAAGCAACCATATACCTCTTAAGCAACATGTGACTTTCTGTAGCAACAAATGGCTTTCCATTGCAATTATTGACTTTCCTTAGCAACCATTGTCTTCCATAACAACCAGTGACTTTCCATAAAAGCCATGCAATTCCATAGCAACCAGTGACATTCTACATCAACTGATTACTTTTCATAGTAGATATTGACATGCATAGCAACCAGTGTTTTCATATAGACCTCCATAACAACCTTTGCCATATCAACTAGTGCCTTTAATAGCAACCATTGACTCGCATAGGAACCAGTGACTTCATATAGCAATCATAGTCTTCCATTACAATACTTCCTTTCCATAGCAACCTTTGCCATATCAACTAGTGCCTTTAATAGCAACCATTGACTCGCATAGGAACCAGTGACTTCATATAGCAATCATAGTCTTCCATTACAATACTTCCTTTCCATAGCAACCATATACTTCCATAGCAACAAGTTACTCTCTTTAGCAGCCAGTGACTCCATGTTAACACATTTTTTCCATAGCAACCAGTAACTTTCCATAGTAGCTATAGACTTACATTCCAAAAGCAATAAGTGACTCACCTTGGAGCCATTAACTTTCCAGGGCAAACTGTAAATTTCTATAGCAACCAGTCACATTCATAGCAAACATCTTTCAATTGCAGCGTGAATTTCATAGCGTCCCCACTGACTTCCAAGGAAACCATAAATTGTGTATAGCAACTAGTGACTTCTTTTGAAACTATTGTATTCTTTGAAAAATAGCAATTAATTTTTTTATTTTTACAAGGGCACTTTTTTCAGATACAGATATGAATTTTATGATCATAACAGTTCAATATTTAGATTTTATATATGCTTTTATATTCAGGTGAGCGATATCAAGACCATGGTCCTCTTGTTTATCTTATTTTGTCGTTTCCATTACTGTCAATAGATAATTTTCACCATTTCATAAGCATTTCAGCTTTTCGTTGCTTTGGCCCGAAAGTTATGCTGGCTTAACATTTGTTAAATTTATGAACAGTGTATGACGGGAGCGTGTGTTTTTTATTTTTAAAAAGAAAATAGTTGCACAATCTCAATGAACAAACAAATTGAAGTACTTAATCACGAGTGAGAGAAACGAATCACCAGGTATAAAATAAAACTCAATCTCTTATTCTTTATTGACAGACCAGATTGAGTACAGAGATAAAATAATGTTTATCAGTTGGTAGTTTCAGTTTAGATTTTGAGAAATGTCTAATTCAGTACTGACCTAGTTTTTAAAATGCACCGTGCATATATTTTCATAAAAATGTTAATGTGTGATAGAGGTCAGGTACATTCGACAAATCTTGCTGTTAAATTTACCGAAAATTATAAAATTTGACCTATTCGGGTTTTAATAATGCTACATTTAGATATTCTTATAAAATATGTATTTTAAGCAAACATAGGTAGTTTTAGTTTAAATTCGTAGAAGAAAAATCTCGCTATTAAACTTTGGGAAAACAATTAAAATAAAAGATTTAAAACTACATGTATTCTAGTTTTAATAATGCTAAGTGTTAACAAATGTGCATTGAAACATACATTAGGTAGCTTAAATCTTGCTGTAAAATTTCCGAAAAAGAAAACAAAAAACTATTCGATTTTTAAAAATGCTATGTACATGTTTACATTTTCATAGAAAGTGTATTTATAACAGACATTGTGTAGTTTCGATTTAGATTGCTGTGTGTTTATCCGAAAACTGTATAATATTTACAAAACTGTGTAAAGGAACAAAAAATTATGGATAAGTTTGAAAGTTGTGAGGCTGTTTCATTGACGAAACATTTTGAGGTTAGTGGGGAATGTTCTGATGAAATTGTTTTCACTTTTGATGATGGTAAGAAACTATATGTATCACAAAACTTCTTGTGTTATGCGTCACCAGTATTTAAAGAGATGTTTAAAGATAAATATGGAGGGACAGAAACCAAAGACATTGAAATGAAAGAAAACTCAAGTGATTTTCTAGAGCTACTGTTGATGTTACATCCGGGAGTACATAAACCTATTGATAGTAAGTATTTATTGCATGGCGATACATAAACATTGTTTTTACTGTATTTTATATACTGTAGATATTGTTGCACTGACATACCACGATGTGTAGCGTCGTTAATCACGTGAATCAGCTTTTCTTTTTTACGAAGAAACATTTCTATTATAAAAAATAAAATAAATGCACTACTAGAAATGAATTTTTTAGTTACAAACTATGTAGGTTACAGTTAGTGAACATTCGGTATCTTATATACTTGAACCATATTTGAAAATCAAATCACCAACATACAAGTTTATAAAAACAAAACAAATAATTATGTGCAGTTTGTTATTTTATATTTTCAGATATAATAATTAAGATATTGTTCGACTTTCATCGCAAGTAAAAATATATAGAGGATATTTGTTTGTTTTGCATGTAAGGTTGAAATATAATTTCACTGAGTGAACACCAGAGCCACGAGTGAAAATATAATAGCTGGTGTTCACGAATGAAATGTATTTCAATCTTATATGTAAAACAAATAAATTTTCTTTTTATTTCATGCTTTTTAAGTGATTTTAAGTATTGTTTTACTGATTTTACCGCGTAACGTCGCGCATTCTCCTTTGTGACGTCATCACATCATGACGTCACATCATCAATTTTGAAATATAGTTCTGTTAAATTTCTCTACTTTTGCTACATTTTTAACATGATGTATGGTGACATCGACTTTCTTTTCCTAAAGAAGCAAAATTGACGCATGACGGCACTTATTTCTGCCTGTTTTTCCATTTAGTTATGATTTTCTTTTCATCCGCATTCAGATATAGTCCGGCTACAGTGAAAATTATATTTTATAAATTTCACTAGTGGTTTATCAGAATATAATCATCTGATATATTACAATAAAACATGAATAAAGCATAAAATAAATTCACATATCTTCTTATCTTTTAAATAGGCAAAAATGTTTTGCGAGTCGTCACTCTTGTGGAAAAATACCAAATTCAACCTTCAATAAGGAGATGCCAAAATGTGATGAAAAGATGGTTAACATCGGAAGTTGATTCTGCTGTAAAAGTCCTAAGTAACGAAAATAGAGTGACGTATGCAAGGACATGTCTGACCATACTGATTAAAGCGATATCTCTTGGCTACGACGACGTTGTTGCACACGCTGTTGACGTTTTAGCAAGATTCGGGCATGACATGTTTACTGGGTCAGGGAAAAAATCTTCATTTGAACTTGATGGATCCTTTAATTTTGGTAAGTCTGCACCTACTGTTAAAATTGATATCGAGGAGAAAGTATCCAAGGGATCTCTTGGTGACGAGTCAATAAATTCTACTGCAGCTACGAAATCGGAGCCAGAATGCCCATTAAACGCCTGCAAAGAACTTTTTGAAAGTTTACCAGCAAATATGAAAACTCGACTTCTTCTACAGCGACTGAAATTATGTGATAACTGTCTAATGCGCAAAACAACTTTATAGAAATTTGCATTCTGTAACGTGAGTCTCCAAAATATGCAAACGTTTTGTCTACTTTGTCAATTCCAGCGCATGTGGTAAAGAAAATGTAAATGATACATACTTAGTTGTGTTATTACAAGATTTGTACCTACAAAAGAAGGGAGCATTTCTTTCGTCAATCGTGTATAACAGAAAAATTCTTTATTATTTAATTATTGAGATATTTTGAATATAATACATTTTTTTTCGATTCAATATAGGATCGTCAACAGTATGTTCCTATCAAATTTGAAAGACATTGGTAAACAATAAAGGCTGAATAAGCAAACATTTAAATTCTATTTTAGCACTTGTGACTTTTATCTTAATAACTCTGGACTATCCAGATATACAGTACATCAATCCATTAATAAAGGCTGTAACGGCAAATGACTGTGTAAAGATCTATTTTAGCGTCATTGACCTTGACCCCACAGACCTTAAACAAAACCCAAAGGAAGACGGTCACCTAAATTATGCTCCTTTCAAATATGAACGACAACTGTAAATAAATAAAGACTGTATGAGAAAATGTGTATAAATCAATCTAAAGCACTATTGACCTTCATAGTCATCAACATATAACTATAGCCAAGATCTTGCACGATGTATTGATAAGTTAGCGTGTAAATCATGAAACCATTAGTACAGGTAGAATTAAAGATATGATTACCAAACCGGCCAGTTTAGGTAAACCTCGTACAGACCATAGGAACTCGAGAACGGGACCGCAGATTGCGGCGTATATTTTCGATCGTGTAACGGTTTTTAAAAACGTTTCTGCTACATCTAAATATCTTTTAGTATTATCCGAGTGTATTGACTCAAAAAATATATTATCAATTGAACCCAATCTGTCTCTTTTAAAACTGGTTAAATTTTACGGTATTATAAAAAAAGATAAGGAGTGACATCCGCCATTTGCCGCAACGTTTTCGGCATGAGTTTTCCCCCTTTGGCTACAATTGATTACTATTTTTTCAGAATTTTGTTCCCGTTATTTTTGTCAACTATCAGGTATCGTCCGGATATAACGTTAACAGTTTATTGTTTACACATGTTGACATGTATAGGCGGCATTATATCGGGTGTATTCGTGTTTTGATTTGTTAACATGGAGAAACAGACACTTTATTAATATGGTCAAACTGGTTTTGCCTAACTGAAAAAAGGAATATTAAAACATGATCCATAGATAAATATTTTAGGCACTCATCTGGTATTCATTACTAGAAAAATTTAAACAAAAATCAAGCATATCAAGGGGGATAACTTACGCCGAACGTTGCGGCAAATGGCGGATGTCACTCCTTTTCTTTTTTCAATATACCGTATATTTGACTGATTTTTAAATTAGCAGATTATATTTAATTGAGATTAGATAATTAAAGACCACCCGCTCGCATAATATGAAAAGATTTTCAAAGGTCGGACAAACAATATGTAAAGCCGGTACGGATTCGGATTTATGCGCCGCAATATGCGGTCCTGTTCCAGAGTTCCTATGGTACAGACTGACGAACGGTTTAATTTATATAAACAATGGAGCATATAAAACTTGAGAAAAAGTAGCGAAAATCTCTACGGTTGTATAGATTATACAGGTTTTTGATAACCGACGCCTTTCTATATAGCTATTGGTAACCGTGAAGGTTTGTTTTTTTATTTATTAATCATTTCTTTTCTTTTTTTCTCATTTAAAAGAATTTATTGTTTTAAAATCTCGTTATAAAGATTTTGACAGGTTATATAACCATATATAAACGGTTCTTTGACATATAACCCTCACCTAGGGGCTCGTATATGCTACAACATACGTTAAACAAGGCGGAATCTTTTCAGCTAATATAATAAACGTGGGCGAGATAGTTAATTTGTCCTTCATTTATAAAGGGAGAATATTTTACGATACATTTAAATGCTTATGCATTATAAAATAAATCTACGTTAAGATAAACACGAACTATTTTCCGAAAATCTTTATCTTTATACAAGGTCATGTAAAAGACGCTAATGTGCGGGTTGAAATATAATTGTTAAATTTTTTGAAACAAAATACGCTTAAAGATTTGTTAAGCTTACGATTGTAAAAATAAATAACATTTATATGTGAACTATGGATATGTTTGGAAGTTTTAATTTTGTTTTTGGGAAAAGACCATTTGAAGATAGTGGGGAATGTTCGGATGAAATTGTTTTTACTTTTGATGATGGTAAGAAACTATATGTATCACAAAACTTCTTGTGCTATGCGTCACCGGTATTTAAAGAGAGGTTTCAAAAGGGATATGGAGAGACAGAAAACAAAGTCATTGAAATGAAAGAAAACTCGAGTGATTTTCTAGAGCTACTGTTGTCGTTACATCCGGGAGTACAGAAACCTATTGATAGCAAGTATTTAGTAACTTTAAAACGATTTCAGTTTAACCTAGATATTATTTTATCTAACGGTAGCATGCGTGTTCGTGCACATGTTCGAAATCTTATGTCCAAAAATTATATGTACATTTGGAATCAAGTATTCAATAAAAATATGCCATTAACAATGTCTTGAAAAATATGTCTGGCGAAAATATTTTTTTCTCTAAAGTTTTAAATAATTTCGTTTAAGATCTTTATTCCTGAATATTTATAAAACCATTTTTAAGATAATCGGTGTACTTCATGTATTTTCAGAGAGTAACGTTTTAGGCGTAGTATCTGTTGCAGAAGAATACAAAATTAAATCATTAATCAACAGATGTAAAGTCGTGATGAATGAATGGCTCACCTCAGAAGTTCGTTCCGCTGCTGCTGAAACCAAAAGTAATTTGGATAAGGCAAAGCATGCTAAAACTTGTCTAACTATTATGATTAAGGCAATATCTCTTGGCTATGAAGAAGTTGTTTCATGTGCCATTGAGGTTCTCGCTGAATTTGGATATGATGTGTATACTGGTTCTCTGATAATACCTGCAGTGCAAAAACCTTTGAACACATTTGGAACATCTAAAGCTAATAAAAAACTATCTTCCAAAAAACCCGCAGCTGTAAACGTTGGCATTCCTAAGACACAAGTTGATTATTCCTTCTTTACCTTTACTCCAAAGAATGTAATATCAGAGGGATCTGTTAACGATTGCAAGAGAATGTTCGACAGTCTCTCGGAACAGCTAAAAACTCGACTTCATTTGCAAAGACTAAAGCTATGTGATGACGGCAATATGAGATAGAATTCATTTCAAAAAGTATTAAGCAAGTTTATCATATTTGTTTCACTGTTTTCTTAAAATAAAACATACCATCTATTTGTCTTATGTCTACTTATTGACTGACTAATTTAAAAGTTTATAAATTATAATCATTTCGTTCATCACAGAGGACATTCAGCACAGATGACAGAAGACAAATCAGCATAGAAATTAAGTCAGCAGAAATTTAATATTCTGCACGTTTGTAACGTCAGTTTTTCATTAGATAATCGTGATGGATATAGTATGTATGCATGCGACTTCAGTCAATGTTTTATTATTTCGCTTGACTGTCACAAAATTAAGTAATTTTGCTGTATTTTGAATTCGTTATAAAGGCAAAGCGTATAGTGACTCGGGTTACGTTAATCTTCAACCGTTTATAATGATTCATAACCTGCGACTAGGCTTACATTAAACTACAATCTTTTTTAATTATCTATATCACATGCGACTCGGTTTACATCAACCTACAACCTTTAATAATGATCAAATTTAACATGTTACATTAACATAAAACCTTTTTCATGATCTATATCACATATGACTCGGTTTAAATCAGCCTACATCTTTTATAATGATTCATATAACATATGACTCGGGATACATTAACATACAACCTTTATCATGATCTATATCACGTGTGACTCGGTTTGTATCAACCTACAGCCGTTTATAATGATCCAATTTAACTTGTGACTCGGGTTACATTAACATACAACCTTTCTAATGATCTATATAACCTGTGACTCGGTTTACATCAACCTTCAACCGTTTATAATGATCCAATATTAACTTGTGACTCGGGTTACATTAACCTATTTAATGATCAACATTATTTTTTTCACAAAAACAAGGCATTTCTCTTAATCACTGATAGCTCCGCCTTTTCGCTCTACAAGATGTCTACACCTTGTCAAGTTTCTAACATTTCACATTTAGATAAGCTAAATAAATGGCCCTTTCAACATATAATCAGGCATATTTTTACTGAAATGTCACAGAATTGATACCTTTATCTACAGTAATTACATATAGGTAAAACAAATGTTTAATGAATGTGTACATCCTTTTTAAAATAAATGGAAATGTGAGAAAATACATTAGAGATTATTATTATTTTGTAAAACAGTTTACAGGTGGAGGGGGTCCAGTTTACAATGAGTTTTCCAGACAAAAATGTAATCATTGTGTTCTAAATATCATTGTATTGTTAATGCAGTTCATTCCTATCAAGTGAAAGAAAATAATTTTTTGGTTACTTTTTCTAGAAAATATAAAGTTAAAACAGTCAGGCAATTTATAACAGACATTTTTCTTAGAGTTCAAAGGATATAAATAAGCTACTATGTAATCATTTGTCTCTGCGTGCCCCATGTAAATTTTATCTATGTAATAAATCATTTTGATTGTATCTCACATTTAGAAAGCCTAATTATTTTTACGTTGGCATTGTTTTGCTAACCTTTATATTTTCCAATTCATAGTGCAAACCACACCTCTAACTCCTCCCTAATATAATGCATTACTAAAATTTGTTAGACTGGTTAGACGACAGATTAAGTAAATTTTATTTAGTAAGTACACATTAACCAAAGTTAGACTTAGCAGAAATTTGAAAAATACTACAATGTGATTGGACAAAAAATAATGTTGATCATTAAACCTTTTTCATGATCTATATTACCTGTGACTCGGTTTACATCAACCTACAACCGTTTTTGATGAACCATATCACATGTGACTCGGGTAACATCAACTGTTCACAATGAGCCATAAAATCTGTCAGACATCATTATAAGTGACAAAGTGTCGGAACATCTAATTGCATTGTAAATTTGTTTCGGTATTTATACGAGGGCATAAAAATCATAGCATTTTAAGTCTCACTAAAATCATGTAATGTTATGTAAAATTAACATAGCAAATTTAACATTTAAAGACACATTTTGCCTCAGAAACAAATAAATATTTCCTACTTTAGAAAGGAAAGGGAAAGACAAACACGACTTGTACGAGCTACTAGTATAACTTTTAGATAATAATTAAAGAGCATACAGCATACTTATCCCCTGATGGAAGTAGCGCTCAGTGCGAAATAATTTGTTATAAAAGTAGCAAAATGAAAAAAATGAAAACATAGTAGTATTTTGAGATTCATGCAAATCAGGTAATTGGCCAATGAGTATATTCTTTTCTTTGGGAACTATAACAGGATACCAAAAAAGTAAGAAAATAAAAAAGCTTTTTGTGAAATAAAAGCATTTCTAGGGATTAACATTGAGCTTTTAAAGTAAATAAAATCACAAATTTATTTACAAATTTATTCACAAGTTTATTAAAGCATTATTAATTACAATTTTTGTATAACTTTATAGACAAGTAAGCGTTTAAAAGGTTACAGATGGTGAATTACTAAACAACTGACAGATAAAGAGCAATTACTGTAAATCTTGACAAACTACCAATGAAACATTCAAAATGTTCAATGACATTTTTAAGCAAAACATGTTTTTTTTAAACTATCTGTGTCGATTAGTACTGCTGACAAATCTAATTTCAAACAATAATTTTTATTTGCAAATTGTAACCTTTGAAACAGTTTGAAATACATTAACTAGCTAGGGATATTCTTAAGTTTAGGTTATTATTGTATGATCTTAATACATGAGAATGTAAAATGATAGCCGTGCAGAAATTGCACGCCGTCACTTGTCAAGCTAGATAATCGTCAGAAAGAGAGTGATTGTTGTATGACCACCGGCATAAGAAAACAACCATAAGTTGCGCATAACATCATTTTAAAAAATAGACATACTTAATTCTTAAAAATGTCTCTATTGCTCTTGAAATAGATAAAAATCTTCTGAAATCGTTTATTGTAGTAAGTGTCTTTTAACGCCATTTGTGAAATGACGTTAACCCATTACTTCATGGGCATTTTGTGAAAAATGGCTGTTTTCATTGAAAAGTCTCCCGTTACAAGTTCAAATTGCTATAATACTATAAAAACTGCTTCAACACTAATCAAACTTGGCACAAATGTTGACTGGACCATTGCCCTTGCAACAACATGCTCAGACATAAATTTTCTGTTACCATGGCAACGAGGGGATATCTCAAAATTGCCAAAAATCACTATTTCGCGTTGATTTTATCCATCATAATTGATTTCAAAGTGCTGCAACTTCTCAATGGATTGAGATAGAGTCAAATGCTTTTCAGCGTTGGTTACACGTTACCTTGTGATCAATCTGGGGTCATTTATAGCCTCTCACAAGACCAAAATTTTCTTGGCGATGAGGGGGACTCCGCCCCCCTTCGAACCCCCCAAACAGAAGGGGCACATCCCCCTTCTGGCAACCCCCTGATGTATCTTTTGGTTGGGGGGCCGCGCCGAAAAAGTGGTCACTTTTTTAAACAACATTTCTCAAACAAAAACAAGTGTTAGGTGCCTAAATAATGCATGTTTTCACCATTTGAGACAACAAAAAGGGGGGGTGAAAAAGGCGTTAAAAGGCGTGTATATGAAGTAATGGGTTAAAGGTCGTTTTCTCATGCCGACGTTCATAAACGTTGCCCTTAACGAACGAGGACTGTTGTTCAATGTTGGAGGAGAACACTGCTTGTCCAAAATATAATCAAAAGAAAAAGTAGGAAACATGTACTAAGAAATATTATAATATATATAACTTGAAAGCACATGTGAGTTCAATGACCTTTATGTTTCAGTGTTTACATAATAAATTTTGACATTTTCTTGATACTTAAATGGATGACGATATAGATGTATGTATTATTTATATACTTTATCAACTCTGAACTAGGTGTGTCGCACATTAATTGTTCAATTGTTCCTATATAGATGTTTTTACGCCAGAGTGAATCAGGAAAATATGGCGCGTAAACATTATTGTGTGATTGTACAAGCAACGCAGTAATAAAAAATCAAAGAGTTGATTGATTTCGCTCTCTTACATTTCTTAACTTACTCGTTAAGATTGTTGACAGATAAATTTAATGTTTTCGCTAAATTTGAAAGACTTTGCTGTGTACCCCACCACTACCAGAATGACATCGAATCAATATTTCATTTTTTTAGACCTAAGTATTTTTTTAACGCCGATAAGTTTTTATAAAAGTTTCAGAAAATTTAATTGGTTTTGTTTCGAAATGGATATGCTATAAATCTTTACAATTAAGATTTCACTAAATTTGTACTGTACATTTTAAATGGCTGTCATGGCCGAGCGGTTAGTGTCAAGAACTTCATATACAGTGCTTTGCTGGTTCGAACCTTACGCGCTGACTTTTTATTTTTCAAAATCTTTTTTTTTATGAATCATATTGCACGAACTGCTATGTAGAATATTGTGTCAAATTAAAAAAACAAAACATACAATTTAACCTTTAATTGAAATAAAATGCACTGCATTATTTTGTGGGCCAAAATTTGTATATTTAAAGGAAAATGTTTATTCTGCTGTAACTGAATGTTGTTTTATTAGCTCATCAATTAGCTTTGTCATGATTGTCAGTTCTCACCGGATTTAGTGTATCATGCTTGCTGAGCATTTTGGTGTGACGCCCGTTTCGACACCCTGGGGAATACAGGAGGAGGTTGATGTGTCTACCCTGTGTTTAGACTCGGACGAAGATGATCCCGAGGTAGGTGTTGATCTGCAGGTTCAAGACTACATAGACACGCTCCCAGATGACACAACAGGGGCTCCTGTTATTAGTGACAGCGAGGGCGAAGCAGACGTTAATTGTGATCTGCGCCAAAATGATGAAGACGTGAACAGAAATACTCTATATCATAAGAATGGTTGTTGGTGCAAGAAAAACTGCATTAATCAGTTTAGTATTTCTGATATTTTTTATCACATGTTGAATATTAGGGAAATAGAAAAACATGCATGATAAAGAACTGTATATAATAGCAACTGTAGTTAAACATCCCTCAGAATGAATTAACAAAGCGCGGGAAGAAACGTCAGAATGGTCACATAACTTTTCATTATCGCGGAAACCAGTGTGTAGGACTGTGTTTATGTCAAGG